TTCTCGGCATGTTTTTTGCAAAGAGTTTTTAGTCAAGAGAAAGTTTTTTTGATGGATCAACTTTTCTGTTATTTTTCAAAAAAAAATTTTTACGGTTTTATCTCTATTTCTTTTTATTTATTTGTCATGCAATGTATTTGTTGTCTTCATTAAAATGTGACGGTTTGCTTCTGTTTGTAAAATTTCAAAAGGTGCAGCTAATTCGGTTCCAAAATTTCAATTTCGGGTTTATATACTGGATTTATTTTTTCTTTGTGTCGGTTCATATAGTACTGGTTTTCATTAGTTTCCCGATCGCAAGTGCTTAGAAGCTCTGACTTGCCTCTGTTCTTTCATTTTTATAAATCAATGGATTATAAGAGAAATTTAATCTAATGTGGTTGTCTGAAGGAAGTTCATTTTAAATGTTTCTATGCTCATTTGTCTTTGTCTTAATATCATGTCGTCTTTTTTACCGGGTACCATCTGATGCAGTAGCTGATTTAGGGATTGCTGCCCCTCTCAGAGATTCGAGCCCCCTGACTACCCAAAGGGTCCCTCTTTGCTACTGTTTCACGACCTCCATTTTGGCTGACTGAAACTAAAATTTTTTCTAAGGGTGCGGTCAAGGCATCTCTTTCTAGGTTCCTGGAGTCAAAAAGTATGCCTTCCTTGAATTCTTTACACATCCTGACAATGTCTCGATTTATTTTCGGCGATCAAATGTATTGGGTTGCATCCAACATTGCTTCCTGGCCAATGTGCGATCGATGTAGTCTTGTCAGGACTGCTCTTCGAAGACACGCTGGGATAGCAATGCGGTCGTGGATGATGATGCAGCCGTCTACTATGAACGCTGAGCTCCAAAACGTTTTTATATAGGGATCTATTCTCGTAAATTGCTCGTGGTCCTCACTAAGGTTGGCCTGTTTCATTAGTCGGTAAGTTGGGTCCTTTTCGACCAATTCCGACAGAATATCCGCATCAAGAAAACCTGTCACTCCTGAGTGCGACTTCTGTCTCTGCCACATTTTTTTCGGTCAGTTCGCGTACACTGCATTCACTTAAGCCGACCTTTTTCGTATGGCTCAGTTTTTGATTCCCCTTTTCAGTCTTAAGTTTGCCAAGATTTGGGCGTCTTTTTCCTTTGGGCGTGGGTTTCTTACCCTGTCTGGTATCTGCTCTTCTCATCGATCTTGCTATCGCCTGTACAATCTTTTTCAGATATGTTGCTTAATGTTTCTCTCGATTCATTAGACAACGTATCTGAAAAAAGGATATACAGGTTAGAAATTGGTTGGATTGATCTGATAGGTTGTTATTTGATAGTAGTTGAAAGTAGCAGAGATTTGCCAGAAAGGATATGTTGGTTGGACGGGAATTCGATTGAAATCGTTCTGTCTTCTGATTGGCTGAGAGAAATTGCGGGAGTAATTTGCGTATTTACATCCGTTGCGCATAATTGGTCGCCGTCTATCGGTTGTGCATAAACTAAATTGGTGGAATCTTATTAGCTGGAATTATGAGAAACTATATCTTTGCATTTTTACATCTGATTTAACGGGAATATTTGTAAATAATCGGTCGTCCTCTCCTGTTTGTGCATAAATTAATTTTGGTCTTTCTGATTAGATAGATTTTTGGTTATTATTCCCCGTTGGCTTTTGTGCCAGATAAACTTTTTCTTTAATTGATGATGTTAAGGACGGTCGGAACTATTCTGTATATAATTTTAATTTTGGTAAGAACCGTTGAAGATGGTTAAGAACACCCATATAAGATCTTAACTACTTGAGGTTTTTTTAGGACGTGAGTTCTAGTTTTGCTTGATTTTTTGAATGTTTTAGTCTATAACCATTTATCAATGTAAGTACCGATTCAAGAAATTTTTTTGACCGAAAATTCGCATTTGGATAGCTTTAAAGCGAAGCCCTCTTTATTTAAGTTTATGAATGCTTCATCTACTTTTTTACTGTGGTCGTATAGCAACCCTTTGGTAACAAATAAAATAACATCCAAAAAATATCATCTAAAAACGTAATTAAAATTGACTTGATTTATTCATAAAATCTTGCCGATGTATGACGGAAGGGCACGTTTTAATTAACCCTTTTTTGTTATTGACCCCAGGGATGCTGCTTAGCGTATTATCCATTGCTTTCAGAAAATCTTTGGGCATATCAGAAAGTCCATAATAGCTGGTTTTAAATCGGTATGTGCCCGTAGCGTCTCCGCTTAATATGTTCACATTGCAATGGTTGCTGACTGATTCGCTTAGTTGAAGCTGGCTAAAAGCATTTTTAAGATCTAATGAGGTGACAAAACCTCTTTGGTATGTTAGAAATGATTATTTGGGCAACTACGTCAAGTTGTTCTATTGGATTCGGCATTTGGCGTTGGGTTTAAAAATTTATAGCGTTCGTGGGTTTGGCGTCATTTGCTATTTTTTGAACCATCTTTCTTTGCCGTGATAACAACGGGTGCTACAAAATATTCGCTTGTTCATTTATTTAGCTTGATGATATGGTTTTCTTTGATACGACGTTTCATATCCTCTCCTATTTTTTGTTGAATATGTAGCAGTACCCTCTGATCCTTCTCCTGAATTGTATTTAGTGGTTGTTTAAAGACTGTATGTACCCGGTGATTCTTCGTTCTTCTTAATCTAGTGAACATTTCTTTGTGTTTAATTACATTGAACTTTTTCTCAATAAGTTGAGATATCCGACGATTTTTTTTCTTCTATTTCTAAATTTTGGTGTGGAAACTTGTTCCTTCTCTCAAAAACTACCTAGCCAAACCTGAGGATAAGAGTTTGAATAAAAGAACACATAGTGAGTTTTTGCTCTACAGTCTGTTTTTGCTCTACGGTCTATTTTCGAAACGTACCCGGCCAAATCTGAGAAATAAGTTTTTAAAGAAAACTGGAAGTAGGAGTTTTCTCACTGCGTTGTGGAAAATTAATTTTCTTTTATTTAACTTTTTACCTTTCAGAGCTACGTTTTGCCTTTTTCTCTTTGTTTGCCAATTGCAGCTTCGCCTCTGCAAAATTTTATAGCTTGAGCATTCTTGATAAGTACCGTATCGTTATCGGCTCAATGAGGATCGACCCACAATTTTTTGCCTTAGTTGCCGTTTGATCCTTGACTCTTGATGGGCTGTTTATGAACATCATATCATCCGAGAGAGAGGTATGAAACTTTTGTAAGTTGTTTTTTTTTTCGATTTCGTCAAGTAGATTTTCAGCTTAATTTTGCAATGCAAATTTATAAGCTTTTTTTTCATGGCAATTGTTGTGATTTGCTTAACTATGGTAACTATAACTTTGGACGAAGCCTTCTGTGGTAGTGTAACAATGAGATGTAGTTTTCACTTGTTTTTTTTTGCTGTAAGAAATAAAGGTTTTGATTTCTTTTGCAATTTCTTATGGATTTTTTAATAATCGCAACTTTTTTGGGTTAACAACTTGCTTAACAGATCCACTTGAATCATTTTGTCTCCGGGTTCAAAATGATTTCAAATTCAGGGCGTCTCCAGCACATTTAATTTGAAGGCGACGAATTTGCCTGAAACAGCAAAGGTCCTGCGTTTGAATCTGACCAGGGCCTCAGAAAAAATTGTTGGCATTTTATTTGTCTGCTTATACTTTGTCAGCTTAGTTGCCACATCTGAGAATTTTCTGTTGCATGCAGTTTTTTTTGTTGCTTTTTATGGTTTCATTTAGTTCCGCAATTCGTAATTCTACTAGCTTTGCCTTGGTATAAATTTCTTGTTATTTGCTTGAAAAGTTTTCCGGCCAAATAATTTCGGCTTATAGTTTATCAATTTATTAACCTAATTCTGCGTTATTCGATAGAATTATAAATTGTATGTTTTCTTCCGGATCGGACAAAACGGTTAAAATCTCAGAATAGATTTTATTGTTCAAAGTTTTTCATGACAACAATTTTTTTCGCTCAAAAAGTTCCTGAATTTTTATTAAAATCCGTCAAATGCGTGTCTGGACATGTTTTCGGCAAATAGTACATCATTTCAGGCAACATTCTGAAGTTTTTTAGATGAGGCATTTTGAAAAGTTTTCCTATTTCTTTGAACTCTTCTTTCTTTTCCTGTCTGCTAGATTGCTATGCTCGTTTTGTGGTATCGCAAGTGATGCGAAGCTCCGCTTCGCCACTGTGTTAATGTTTTTGTTCATTTAAGGTTGTTAAAATTTTTTACTATTTGTTGATTTTATTGTGTTTTGCTATTTTTTTGAGAACTCTTAGCCGACAGAAATCTAAATGACTTCGATATTTTTATTTGGTAATCGTTCAAATTTGTGCGTATACTTGGTTTATTTTTGTCTTAGTTTCTGACTTTTTTCGGCTTACATGATGTCTTTTCTCTTTCGCCGTCATAGAAATTACCTTTTCAGAAAATAAAGTGTGTCAACTAAGATATGTTTTGGCCTGATATTTTTTTTAGTTTGAGTTATCATAAGCTTATTCAAAGACCTTAAGTGAATTACTCAAATTGTTGCGGTATTATTCCAAATCACAGATAATATAAGGCTATATTCATTTGAGAAAGTTTGGAGCTTGGTAGTTTTGTTTTTTCCGACTCGGGCTGACTCATTCTACTTATATGTAATGTATTTGAAAGTCTTTTACACGAAGAGTTTTTCGGCTCTTGCAGAGTAACGCTCCTGCCCTACCCAACATAGACTCTTTTTGAAAGTGCCAACATAGGGCATTGGATTAGCTTTTTTTGAAACTTTTTGGTTTGTAGCTTACTTGTTTTTGAATTTATTGGTTTCTTGATTTTAGCTGAAACTTGCTGGCTCTAAATTTTCATGATTTCTGATAATTTTTTTCGGCTTTCCTTTAAAATTGTTTTTTTTTTGGCAATTTCGTTAGTCCTGCAAAAAAAATCAAAGAAAATGAAGCAAAAAAATCAAAGAAAATGAAGCAAATCTTCCTTGTTAGAAAGATTTGCATTCATTAGGCTGTAAATTTGGTTAAATTAGCGGGAGACTTCAATCAAGAAAATAAGATAATTTGAATTTTTTTCATAAAGAAGCGCATCAATTTAGCGCACTAAAAATCCAATAACCAATAAATTCTTTTAAAATCGACATAGGATCTCTTTAACTATATCCCCCTCGGGTACCTAGTAACGCATATCACCCCGTATAAAAATTAAATCAACGGTTAAGTATAGGAGAATTTTAAACCTAGTAACAAATATCCCCCCCCCCCATTATTGCTAAAAGGGGATATAGTTTAAGAGATCCTCGACACAATCAGAACATGGAAAAGTGCCCTGTTGATTTCTACATTGCGGCGCGGAATTCAATCAGGACTGTCAAAAGGTCAACTGTCGTGTGCGCTTCTCTGCGTGATGACTCATTAATGAAGACCAGTAAACTTTCTCCTCTTGATGAAGTCATACCTGTTTCGCCTCTAAATCTGACGTTTCTCTACGACTACGTCGTAAGTTCTGAGAAGTTAGAAGCTGCACTTGTTCATACTCTAAACAGATATCCAGAAATGACGGGAAGGTAAGTGCTGAATTGTTTGAAGTACTAAAGAATTATCATTATCATCATTATCATCAATATCAACTTATTTGAGAGCCTTCGACATACACTCCAAGGTGCAGTTTATGATCTGAGAAATCTTAAACATCAGTGGACGAAGTTATTGAACTTATTTACGTCTTGTTTTGTTTTTGAGGAAAAAGTTAACATTTGCTCACGATCAAATTTCATGCCCGGCTTTACTGCTTCAGAAGTGGATTTCAAATTTTATAGAGTTCCCAGCGGAATAAAAAACGATCTATATTTATCCAGTTTTCTTTAATTGGGTCAATTGTATCAATTAAGTGTCAATCACAAAATTTACATCATAAATCATAATAAATTCAAAAAACTCTGAGTGATAAATATTTTTCTTTGAATTTGACCTGAAAATTTTATCTAGTGTTTACTACTGAAGCATGATTGATATTCAGAAAAAAAACTCAATAATTTAATGCCAAAATGTTTGATTAAACTTGCAGATACGTAGTTCGTGTCACGGAATCATAAGAAGTTTTGTTTTTCAACTTGAACTTTACACTTTTCAGTCATTTTTCATGTTTTTCAAGTTTCAATGAAACTATCACTTTGTGTTTTTTTGTTCAATTTTTTCACAAGAAAAACTCTTTAAAAGTTTTCACGCTCAAATTTGCTTTTTTCGTTGTTAACTTGATTGACTTTTAGCAAAGTGAATGCGTTTTTAACTTTCAGATTTTCCAGCAGAATAAAAATTATCCATTGATTTAGCTTTTTTTAAAATTCTGGAATGTTTCGGTTTGCTAATTTTTACACCGAAGACTTTAGTCAAGGTGTTATGGTATCGTGTAACGGTTTTTTTTAATGTTGTCTGTTGTCAAGTGTCGACAAATAACGTCCACAGTTATAAATTATCATGTGGGCTGGACTATGTCGCGCTATGTCACGTGATTGCGTATGTTTGTTTCTTTATTTGTTCATCTTTATTTATTTAATTATCTGTTCTTCTATTTATTTAATTATGTTTAGTTTGCTTATATTTATTTATAATTTATGTATGTACATATTTATTTTTGTTTATTTTTATCACGTGTTTTGTTTATTTATTTAATTATTCTTTCTTTCATTCAGTTTTGCTTTTATTATTTCTGCGTGTGTATTTATTTAATTTATTTATTTTCATTTATTTATATTATGGGTCTGTTTGTTTGGTTATTTGTTCATATATATTTTTTCATGTCTATTTAATTATTTGTACATTTCACTTTTGCTTTTATTTATTTATTTATTTATTTATTTATTTATTTATTTATGTATTTATTTATGTATTTATTTATTTATTTATTTATGTATTGATTTATTTTTTTATTGCTTATTTATTTATCAGGTGTGTTTTGTTTATTTGTTGATATTTATTTCTATATTTATTTAATTATTCTTTCTTTCATTTAGTTTTGCTTTTATTATTTATGTATGTGTATTTATTTCATATATTTATTTTCATTCATTCATATTATGGGTCTGTTTGTTTGGTTATTTGTTCATATATATTTTTTCATGTCTATTTAATTATTTGTACATTTCACTTTTGCTTTTATTTATTTATATATTTATTTATGTATTTATTTATGTATTTATTTATTTATTTATGTATTGATTTATTTTTTTATTGCTTATTTATTTATCAGGTGTGTTTTGTTTATTTGTTGATATTTATTTCTATATTTATTTAATTATTCTTTCTTTCATTTAGTTTTGCTTTTATTATTTATGTATGTGTATTTATTTCATTTATTTATTTTCATTTATTCATTTTATGGGTCTGTTTGTTTGGTTATTTGTTCATATATATTTTTTCATGTTAATTTAATTATTTGTACATTTCAGTTTTGCTTTTATTTATTTATATATTTATTTATTTATGTATTTATTTATGTATTTATTTATTTACGATTGGCCGATTGAAACGACAGGAGGCGTTTTGCTACACATACAAACACAATCTTTTGTATTTTATTATAGCTATAGAAATTGATCTACAATGCGTAAGTACGACATTTAGTTCTACGATTGTTATTTCAGGTCCTTTGTCAATATTTCAGGCTCTTTGTCAATATAGCAAAATTTTGGTGTATATATGTGTTAGTAAGATTTTTAGTTCTACAACGTTTATTCAGGCTCTTTGTCGATATAGCAAAATATTGGTGTATACATGTGTTAGTACGATTTTAGCTCTAGAATTGTTATTTCAGGCTCTTCGTCAATATAGCAATATTTTAGCGTATACATGTGTTAGTACCATTTTTAGTTCTCGAACTGTTATTTTATGATCTATGTCAATATATCAAAATTTTAGTGTATACATGTCTTATTACGATTTTTAGTTCTCGAACTGTTATTTCATGATCTTTGTCAATATATCAAAATTTTATTGTATACATGTGTTAGTACCATTTTTAGTTCTCGAACTGTTATTCCATGATCTTTGTCAATATAGCAAAATTTTGGTGTATACATGTGTTAGTACGATTTTTAGCTCTAGAACTGTTATTCCATGATCTTTGTCAATATAGCAAAAATTTGACGTATACATGTGTTAGTACGATTTTTAGCTCTCGAACTGTTATTTCATGATCTTTGCCAATATAGCAAAATTTTGGTGTATACATGTGTTCGTACGATTTTTAGCTCACGAACTGTTATTTCAGGCTCTTTGTCAATATAGTAAAATTTTGGTGTATACATGTGTTAGTACGATTTTTAGTTCTAGAAGTGTTATTTTATGATCTTCGTTGATATATCAAAAATTTAACCTATACATGTGTTAGTACGATTTTTAGTTCTAGAACTGTTATTTCAGGCTCTTTCTCGATATAGCAAAATTTTGGTGTATACATGTATTAGTACGATTTTTTGTTCTAGAACTGTTATTCTTCAATTATTAGTTCTTCAAGTTGTTTGGTTTTTGCTTCAGTTTCTATGCCTTCGGTGTATTGCGCGTAGCGCCTATGTTTCAAATTTTAGGTTCTTTTTGCCGTTATTTCTATTTTACTAGGAAACTGGAGCTCTGCCTTAGTGAACAAAAAATAAAATATTTTTCGCTTACGGAGCAAATGCAAAGAAATTTGGTTAAATACCATCAAAGCGCAACTTCGAGTTGCCACCATTAGACGAATGGCCTGATATAAGGTGCCACTTAGCAACTGTACTCTGGGTAAATGAGCAGATTGGTTGAAAATGGTTTTTCATGCTCTTGATATTCCAATTTTTTTCACCTAAGTTATGCTTTCTTTTTTATTTTGTTGTTCCGGCCATTCAAAATTCGGGGTATTCGGGTGTGTTTTAGTTTTTTTTTCTTGTTTTTTTTTTGTTTTCTACGCAAAATCAGCTGCCACAAAACAATAAATTCTAGTTTCGAAACTAAAAGTCGATCAAGTTTTTCAAAGCATTTACACTTTTGCTGTTAGCTTTCAAGAAGATAGTGGTGGTAGCTTTCCTGTTAACAGTGGGAAAAATGAACTATTAAAATCAATATTTAAATAGCTAAAAAAGTAAATTTGAGCCTGAAAAAAAAAGAAAAAATGAATCATCGCGATCTGTATAAGAGTGTGAACTACAATCATCGACTCTCAATAACCATCGGACTGGGTTAAGTGATACATCATATTCAAGCCCTTTTAGTCGTGTTTTGAATTTTTTTATTCGATTTTGTCGTGAATTGAAAAATTCAGTTTTTGGATTTTGACTTAAAACCGCAACTAAGTGAATTTTCAGAGTAGAGTTTTACCAAATCAACAGCAGATCTCGATATTTAATCTTTTCGAGACAGTTTCTTAATTGCAATAATTCGGTTTTTCTTACACCGTTAGGAAAATGAGTACTTCTCTTTTTAGTAATTCTGATATCCAGCTTAGTTTTTAGTTAGTTGCATTATTTCAACTGAACGTAAATTTAACTCTTGCAAAAATCATCCTTTTACTTTAGCCTAACTTTTCATTTTTTGTTCCGACCATTTGAAAAATGGGGACGAACTTTGTATTCGGGTGGGTTTTATTTTTTTTTAACTTTTTTTGTTTTCCATGCAAAATCAGATACTACAAAAAATTATCAGACTGGTTTGACTGATACATCTTATTGAAACCATTTCAGTTGTAATTTGAACGACATTTAAAAATCCAGACAACTTTTCCAGTGTCGAAAAAAACCGGTTTGAAGCTTTTAGTTTTTTGTCTAATTTCGAGCTAGTAACTCGATATAGTAACGCTCGTTATAAAAGTTTTATAGACTTCCAGAAAAAAAACTTGATTATACTTTTTAAAAAACTAGTTTCGTTTGTTTGCTTTTGTGCTTGTTCGGTAAAATAGTTTTTCTGACATTTTTTAAAAATTATTGTGCAAAAATTAGAAATCACTAGCCCGCTAAGAACGACGCAACTGAAGAATTCTGGAAATTTGTAATCTAAAACTTTTGCTTACGTTTATCTCAATTAATTACTCCGGATGTCTGGTGCAACTGCTTGAGCTTGGTCAGACTATTATGAAGTTTCCAATTATCAAATGAGTGCTCAAAACGTAATTTTTTCTCTCTGGTTTAGATTTGATATTTTATGCCAAAAGCTGTACAGCTATTTTTGTTCTGACTCATCCATAGAATTGGGAGCAAAAATGTCATACGGTGATTATTTGTCACGCGAGCTAAGTCATCTTACATAAGGATCATAGGCAATCCACAATTGCATAAGGAAAATGTTTTTTTTTTGTTCAAATCTTATTCATGTTATGATAGTTTTCTACAAGTCTTTGTTAGTATCCCGTGAAAAACATTTGAAAGCAATTCAGGCTTAATTTCATTCCACTAGTTAGACTTGTAAATTGGGAGGAACTTTGTATTCGGATAAGTTTCTTTTTTTTCTCTTTTTTTGTTTTTCACGCATATTCAGGTACCACAAATAATCATCGGACCGGCTTGAGTAATGTGTCATATTAGGGCCTTTTAAGTTTGCTTAT